CCCGACACAGGCCAGACAAGCTGCTTCCACAGCCGAGTTGGATGGAATCCTATCGCATCTCTCGGTGCTGCCGCGGCTGGAGGAGTCTTTCCCGGCCACCTCGTTGCAGCCGACACTTCTGAAACACGGATCCATCTCCACATTCTCATCAGCTAAGTCAGCTTCAAAATCTGAAGCCGTGTCTGTCGTTTCGCTGTGTGTGCTCTGTATTTCGTCATCACCGTTTGTCTTGAACTCCCGAGTCTCTCTCAGCGGCTGATGCGCATTTTCTGGTTCTGTTCTGGGACACCTCTCCCTCAGCTGCAGTTCGTCAGAGGGATCTATCCTGTTCTGAGGAATAAATTCATCGCATAAAGAGGGTTTGACCAGAGACTCGGTACTTTGCTCTTCATGACTGACTTTGCCATCGCTCTCTTTCTCAGCCTGCAGATGTGCACAGTCACAGGGTGCAGGGGCTGCTTTCTCTGCTCCAGCAGTCGTCCTGCTGGAGTTATCACTATCAGCTCCACGTTTTCCCACAAATATTTCAGAGCCGTTAAATCTAAATCTCGACACCATTCCGGCACTCTTTACCAGCCGGCGACAATTCTGGCAGAAGCGCAGAACAACCAGAAGCATCTTCCTTCACGTCGGAGTGACGACCCGGCTGCCCAGCAGGAGCACAGGCATCTCCACGTTCCGACATGACCGTGTCTCCCGCGGGACCGACCGCAGCTCCCAGCACCTGAGAACACAAGAGACCGTTCACCGGAGCAACCGCGCGTTTCACCTTTGTGCTCTGCCTCTCCTGTGACGCAACACAAGATGGGGTTTCGGTCCTTGGGTCATGGAGGAGCTGCTCGGGGCTCTCCTCCTGTCTCTCACGAGTCGCGCTGTCTAAGGATGACTCGGTCAAAGCATCACGGAACTGCCTTCTAGGTGACCCGTCACCAGGCGCAGCGTCCCTCGTTCTCTGAAGAATGGGGGTCTTGTCTCGAAGAGAGGAAGGATTTCGTGCAAGCCTCCTGAGCCGTCACCTCGGAGTCATCCTTTGCTGGGTTCAGATGGAGAGACGACAGTAGTTGTGCTCGCTGTAGATCTGCCGAACGCTTTCCATGAGCTC